TGTTGATTCCTTCGTATGGCTCGCCGCCAACAATCATCAAAGAATTCGTCGTCTTACTATGACCTGTTCGCGAGGCAATGGCCAAAGCTTCATGACACAGTACTTTAGAAAACGTCGCTTCAGGTCGATCTCACGACGGATACCCTATTGCTTGTGTAACTTGGGCACAGCACTGCTTCTGGAAACACATCTTTTTAATTTTTTGAATCATCGTAGAGGACTAGTCTTGAGCGAATCTCACAACTAGGATGTAAATCCCTAAATCAGATTCTTTCTATCAAGGACACTCTCTTTCATTAATGAGCTGCATAGAATCCTTTATATCTTGGCGAATAACATCCTGCAGACCACATATAGGTTACATACTCGTTCTTTTGCGACTATTTACGAAAAATGATTGACGTTGGACCCACGCCTCGGACCTTGCTGAACAGCTTGACAATAATTATTTACCTGCGAAACGGGGTACCGCGTTGGGGGAACTGCCTTCCTATACACTTAATGCTCTATCCATCTTCGAAAATTTATTGCGTGCTTGCAATTTCCTGTAGGTTGATAGCACGAGAACTCTCGCTACCCGTGTGACAGAGGTTCCATTAAACTGGGCCTAAATTTCTGTCGTCTTGACGCGCACGATAGTACTCGAAACTCGCGCAAACTGTTTCACGCTGAAGTCCTCCTGTTCCGTAATCTTTATGGCCTCTTCCAAGGTGTTGAATCCAAACCGAACAGGTTTAATGAGACCATCATCAGAGTCTGCATGAACAACGTAATCAACGTTTGTTGGTTAAGCAGGTCAACTGTTATTTAACTGGTAAGGTGACGTATGTACTGCGATGAGTGAGATCACGTTTGGCTTGCTTGATTTCTTACGAATTTAGAGCAAGCCCCAAACTCAGCTCGCGGTGGCTCAAATGTTTTTCTAGGAAGGGACTTAAAGACTATGAACGAACCACAGACATATGGATCGAAAACAATCTTAAGGCCCATGTCTTTACACGCCTCTGCATTCAATTGAGCAAATGCGATCTGCACTTGCTTATCGACGATGTGGCGAAACTATATGGCATCCTACGGTTCCACGAACCATATCAACACAGAGTCTTTATTGACTCTATTATATGTTAAGATACAAATCTTTAGAGCCTCGGGTCGAAGTTTGTACTTCGAATCGGTAGCAGTGGCCTGCTGCTGTCTCAACAATTGGAACTGTTAAGCACGACATTCTCTAAACAGCTCTTTGTGCTGACAACCTTGTTGATAAAGCCAGGTTGGCTTATCCAGTCTAAAGTCAAGTTCATTCTGAAAGAACTGGCGATGATGGCGTTCTGTCCGTCTGGCCCCAGGATGGACAACATTGCACCAACGGCTTTCTGCCCTAACGTCCAGCTCAAACGCTTCGACGGCATCCCATTCAATTTGTATTAAATGGAAGATTTAATGTGATATAAAGTACATCCCCCTTTCGCTTCAATATGTTCATGTTCGTTAAAAATACTACAATATGCTTCCAGGTGTAACGGGGCACACCTTATTTAGCTAACCGAAATACTTTGCACTACCGACAGTGCAAGGATGGGCGTTTGATTACCTCACGTACACGTATGTGCAGAGGAAGATTGCTATACGGAGTAACAGTACTCAGTAAAGGAAGAGTAGAGCTGATTTAGTATAGCTGATCCTTTTAGTAAATCCATGTTTAACTTCATTGAACTATGTCTAAATACATACATGCATTGTTACTATCATGCACCAGTCATTGCGTGCTTCCGTCGTGGCTAGCCTTTATCGGGTAGTATCGCGATCCTGTATCAACCAATGAGCAGTGTGTTACATCTGAGAAGCAATATTATCTGTCAGGATAATATTGCGAGATTATTGTGTTTGCCCTAACATAATAATCATACTTGATGATTACATTTTGTAAAATATCATGTAACGGAGTGCCTCCATTACATCACGCACACTCACGAATAACTTCGCGATCGGGCACGCACTACGTCCAGAAACAAGCCGTGGAGATCGCCCTTGAGTAAATTAGTCCATAGAGCTGAATTGAGTTCTGAAGAATCTACACACACCCATTTCAGGTGGTGGACGACTTGAGAATGAGTTGTGCGTCGTGTATTTAAAGTAACAGAGTAGTCACATCGTTGTGAGAGGTACTCGTTGATGTTATTGACGATCCAAACAGACGAATATGAGAAAAGTGGTGGATAACTGCTCGGGAACGCCGTCAACAACAAACGCGATCGATGACATGTATTTGACACATCTGTAACTGAAATCTAATGGACAAAGATTCCTCTTCCATCGAGAGGAGAAGGTTCACATTGATTCTTATTATATCGTTTCATAGAGAACTTTGGATGAAAATCACTTGTCATGTACTGTTTGAAGTGCGACACTTTTGCTGTCATGAAGTGTCGAATATTTACTTGTTCGCCGTCCATCCGCACTTGTCTCTTTAATCCGATCATGTGCGTCATTGGTACATGTATGTGACGAACACTGAACGCGGTTCGTGACCTAGTTTAAGAGTGACATCAAAATGCAAATCTACCAATGAGGAGGGACATGCTGCATCGCACGTGGTGCGACGTGTACATGCACCCGTGTTATCCACACACCACAAAGACAGATAGACAGAAAGACACAAAGTCGCAAAGACGCACATACGCAAGACAGACTAACAGAAAGTAGGGTTTGAATTCTCGGCAATCACCTTACGTACAGTCCATCCTTCCGGTTAGCTAATGTATCTACTGCTTATCTCGAAGTCGATAGAATCTTGTCTGATATTGCTTCCCTCCCCACCCCAATACTTAGGGAACTTGTAGAATGCCGCGCGTTGTCACCTGGTAAGTTTGCTCAACTAACATGTTTAAATCCGAAGATCGCGATACATACGTAAAAATCATGTCATTAATCTAACAGAGCACCGTTTTTCGAGGGTGCCACGAACCTTCACTTACACTCGTACGTGCAGAGGAAGCTAAGCTACTCATACTGCTAGTTTGAGTAAAGGTAAAAAGATGACTGTATTTAATATGGTCAAGCTATCAATATAACTCCTGTCTTTGTCTAACTACATTCATCTACATCGTCGTATGACGACAACCTGCTCGCCATTCATTGCGCGCGTCCAGCAGCGATTGGTGGCGATCTATGGTTGATACGTGTTTTGTCAACCAAAGCTTCGACTAGTACGTGAATGTTATCTCAAGGAATAGTATTCCTTCAATATTACCTATCTCGGATAAAATTGGCAGGAGATTTCCACGCGGGAAGATCTATCTCTTGACACCGTTTGGTGTCAACATCATGTAACGGGCTACCCTGTTACACCCACCCCCTTAACCATCAATCACCCCGTGAATTGAATTAAATTGATCGGGGACATGGTGATGACCTTTGGGTCACTCCAGGAAAGGGGAGGCACTTGTTGGTCAAATTTCAACTCATTTGCCGATTCATTGCATGGTGTCAAAGTCCATGTGGTGCGCTGCCGAAGCAGCCAGAAAGGCGGTTGCAAGCATGCGTGCAGCCAAGGTAAACTTCTCAAGCCTCAGCAGCAGGTTTTCATTCGCCTCCTGTTGCAAGTGAGCAACAGGCAGTGCCTGTTGTGAAAAGTCCGCGGGGTGAGCCGTTATGTGCGACAGATACATCCGCTGCGTCTAAAGCGGGTGCAGCGACTAGAAATATTGATGAGCCTGAAATATGCATCATCTATTCTGGCGAGTCGAATGCATGGTTCTACTCAAGGCGGCGCCTCCTGCCTCCGGGTCACCCGGGGCAAAACTGCAAGATCCAGGTAGAATGGCTCGGAAAAACGTGGCGGTATCATGTCCGAGATCTTCGGGCCGAGCGATTCGTCTGATGAATCTCCGTCTAACACAAGTCCATCTGACGCGAGGACGCGTGGTGATGGTGGTGCCGCACCTATACGTCACCACGAGAGAATCAACTCGAGGTATCGAGCTGCTACTGGTGTCAGAGCTCATGCTAACACCACACAAGAGTCCAGGTACCGCAATGCCCTGCACCATGCTCCTCAAGTGGAGTTTCCATGGATGCCATCATCCAAGAAGTTCGATCGAGTGGCCGGTATGACCACTGAAAGGGATCGAATCCCGTTGTTTAATTGTAGGATGATCTGTGCTCCCAATTCCAGCACGGAAACCGTTCGTGTTGAGGAAGAAGTCCACACCGATGCGCTCCTCAAACATCTGTAGTACAGTAGAAACCGTGGCCGCGACGGTAAGGCCTTGATGCGGGTATGGAATGCCTTCATTCATGGCATTGAGTGCATTGGCCGTGAGTCCTGGCTCGGTAAACTTGACGCAGCTTGCATCAGGTTTGAAAAACGTAATTCAGACGGTGTGAGTTACAATTTTGCACCGACTGTCAAGAGAGGCAGGTTTAGCCTGTCTCTCGTGGGGCAATCCATATCAAAGGTGCCTGGACAGTGCCAATCGTGCCCCTAGAGAGGCCTGACTCCCTCTTTCCTACTGGAGGGCGCGCATCTCTTCCGAGATGGCCGAAGAGATTCATACTTTGCAATCCCTGTAGTTGCGTTCTAAGAGGTCGTTTTCCGACGTCCCTTCTTCAACGCAGCGGTTGAGTCTCGTCAAACTGCTCAAGGAGACCCAGAACATCAACAATCATCTGGGCGCGAGGCTCTCAGCTGCCCCAGGCCGGTGGATAGCCGCGCCAGCAGACGAGGTAACTCGTCTGGACGCCTTTCACGTCACGGTGGTTCAAAATACCCTTCACCAGGAAGCGTTGACCACCGCCAGAATCCACCAAAGAATGTGGTGGAGGCAGGAACACCTGATCCAGCTCGAGGGTCGGATAAGCTTGATGTTCAAAAATTGAACCGCGTGACGGATCAGTTACACGAAAACTTGGCTCGTGATCAGGCCCGGCGTTATGAGCTTCATGGCATTGTAAAGGACAATTACAAATCCTTAGCGTACGATCGTTCGAGCGAATGTGCCATGTTTGCGCTTGCGCAGCTTGAGAACAAACGTTCCATTCGTTCCCTTCGTGACGAGCTGACTGCAGCTCATCAGGACATCGCTCAGCTGTGTGAGAAGGTCACTTCGCTGATTGAAAAGATTGGCTCGTTGAAACGGGACCACTCGAAGGTGAACTTGGCCCTTGATCGTGGAGGTGCTCTTCGCCTCTCGAAACGGGCTCGTACTGATAGTACGTGTGGAGACTCCTAACTTAATACGTAGGGTGCGTACGCACCCTACGAGGCAGTTCAATTGTGTATTCGTTGCCCTTGCGGTGTAGTACATGAAATAGATCGATGTACTTGGGCATTAGTTTACTGCTGCCCACGTTTTTCACTGGGTGTCTTGGTAGATTTACTGTTGACAGTAAAATTAAGTCTCCAGCATTGAATGAAAGAGCGTTAGCTCTTTCTTGTTTTTCTGCGTTTCTTTTCTGCTTACCTATTGCATCTGCAATAGAGTCTTAAACGAGGCGGACAACCGCTTCGTGCGTCAGTAGGAATCCCTCTGCTGACTCGTCCTTGTTAACAGCAGTGTTGCTTCGTGTACACTGCTTAAAGAAAGTTGTCTTCACCAGTGAGGGTGTCATCTTCCTCACTTTGGTAGTCATTGGCGATGCTGAATATACCAGCATCGTCGTCATCATCATCATCGATATCGATTGCATCGACATCGGCAACCATCACGTCGACACCATTGTCGACGGGTGATGAGCAAGAACCAGATCGGTTTTTGTTCGAGAGCTCTCCCCCTTAAACTAGAGTCATACTATAAGAAGGCGGGTAAACATGAATGGCGTAGGCCATTCACGAAGAACGGTGTATGCGTTGTCGACGCTTGCACGGAGTTGTTGATGGCGAATTCCGCCATCGACAAGAACTCACTCCAACTCGCAAACGAGTGGACGTACCCTCGAAGTGTCTCTTCGAGGACGCGGTTAACACGTTCCGTTTGCCCATTGTTTCAGGATGGTCAGAAGCCGACATTCATAATCGTGTTCCAAGTGAAAAGAACACGGATTGCCAGAACTCCGCTGTGAAGTGGGTGTCCCTGTAAGACACGAGTTCACGGGGTAGCTCGTGAAGTCGGAAGATAGTATCTAAAAAGACACGAGCACATCCCTGGGCTGTGATTGACTCCGGTACAGCAACAAGATGTACCATCTTGCTGAACCGATCAACAAACACAAGAATACCAGTATTCTAGTGAACGTCTTTGGTAAACCCAAAGACGAAGTCCATCGATACGGACTGCCAACACTCTGCCGAAATCGGTAGATGCTGCAAGGGTGCGCGGGATGAAGGACTAGGCTTCACCTGTTGACAAAATTTTGCAAGCGCGAATGTATTTGCGCACAAACTCATACTAGGGAGGCCAGTAGAAGTCACGACTCACCATTAGGTAAGTCTTTTTTACTGCGATTCCCACTTGTCGGGGCATCGTGACACTCATACATGATGCGCAATCGCAAATCATTATGAGCCGGAACGACGACACGAGGTGTGTCGCCTTTGACTGCTTATAGTAAAGCAGTCCATCATGAATAAAATATCGTTCGGTTGAAAGCGGTATTAAGACGTCAAGATTTTCAAAGCTTGACTGCATGGATTGGATACATAATCCATCAACTGCAAAAGAGACTCATCTTATGCGTATGCTTTTCGCACGTCGTTGAGCGTATTCGACGACGGAACACTCACTTTTAGTGTTGCAACAGCGGTATCACCCCTACCGCTGGCTTGAGCAGTCAGCTCGAAATCGGGCCGATGCGAAAGAGCGTCAGCGAAGACATTAAGTCGTCCTGGTTTATACTATAAGGAGAAGTTGTACTCCACGAAGAAAGACAGCCACCTCGCCATTCGTTGCAAGAGATGTGGACTGTTTACGACTATGCTTGATGACGCATGGTCGATATAAATGATGGAGGGCCTATCTCCTAAGAGATTTACCCGAAACTTAGCCAGTGCACATTTCATTGCAAGGAGTTCCTTATCATGCACTGCTTAGTTACGCTCAGCTGCTTGCAGCTGACGCGATTGATAACAGACGACGCGCTCAACGTCGTCTGATTCATACTGCATTAACGCGCAGCCGACCGCAAAATCGCTGGCGTCACAGACCACATGGAATGGCCTGTCCTGGTCTGCAATCGCCAACACAGGAATTGTATCAAGCTTTTCTTGATACCTTCGAAGGAGTGCTGACACTCATTACTCTATGACCACCTCTCGTTTTTCTTTAGCAGACAAGATAGGTGTACGGCCATCTCGACGTAGTTGCGCGAGTACTTGTGCAAGTACGCCGCTAAGCCAAGGAGCTTTCGAAGTACCTTGACGTCGACTGGCACAGCCCATTCGCTATTTGCCTTGATCTTTTGGATCAGGACGCACGCCGTTTTTACGTAAGATGCAGCCAAGAAGTGGCATTTCGCTCGCTGAGAATATGCACTTCTTGAGGTTGGCAAACAACTTATGCTCATGCATATGTGTAAGAACCTTCCGGACGTGGATCATATGAGCATCCACGTCTGCCCTTCCATGTATTGACCGGCTATGGGCGAAGGCATCGTCAAAGTAACTCGGTGCTAAGTCTCGCACCGATCGCAACAGATTCGCAATACTTGTGTTGAGCTTTGCAGGGGAGTTACTTAGCCCTTGTGGCATGACTAGCCACTCCCATAGCATATCACTTGATGCGGTCTCTACTGTGTACGGGGTGTCCTGTCCACTCATGAGGATCTGATAAAACCCATCATCAGATCCATGAACGAAATGATGACATTTTTTGCCATGCCATCTATAATTTCGTCCTTCCTCGGTGTAGTCGTCTGAGCCTGTACCATTGTAGCAATCAATTTTCTGAACGCATGTGCTCTACAATACCCTCCTATTGCTTCTTGCACACAAAAACCATGGATACGTGGAGGGATGCTGATTCCCTCACATGGCCCGCCGCCAAGCGATCGGTAAAGAATTTGTCGATTGTTTTGACCTGTTCACGAGTCAGTGGCCACTGATTTGTGATATAGTGCTTCGAACCGGGTTTCAGTTCGATCTCACATCGAGTGCCTTTGTCCTTCGGCAACTCTCATGGCACAGATTCAGGAAAAACATCTCTGATTTGATCAAATCCTTATGCAAAGGATTTTCTTCAAAGACTCCTAATATTGAGACTTGTATCGCTCAATCCGGACCTTCTCATAGTACATCGATGAGCTGCTGAGAACCCGTTCGTTCACAGCAAACACTTGTGCCGACCGAATATCGGCGACGTACTCTTCCTCTGTGACGAGTAAGCAGATCTGCTTGATCTTGTCACTACGCAGATCTCGCAAAAAGCTTTTAGATTCTAGTGTTGGCAACTTGATTACCTCCGAAGCTGAATTCGGAGATGAAACCAGATCAAGTGTATAAGCGACTACACTTGATCCGTCATTCACCAAGACATTAACTGACTACGTGATTTCCTGGAAAAACACATCCTCAGGTGGTTGGGAAAACACACCCTTAACATAGCCCTCTCCGAAGTTATCACTCTCAGGAACGCTGGAACTTTCTTGCAATACGTGTTCTGACTGTGGGAGCACTACCACAGTCACGGCCTCTTCGATCGACTCTCTTTCAGTCGATCGTGTTTGCTTTACGATCGACTCTCTGTTAGTCGATCTCGTTTCAACATGGTGTTCATCCTGAATAAAAGTCATAGCTCTTTTTTGATGCACCCTGCTTGGTGTGCATCCGTGTTCCAGTCCACTCGATCTCTTCGAGTGGTGAATCTTCAGCGCAGCCTGTGTCTCTACACAGGTGCCGGAAGCTGGTTCCACAGTGTAGTGGCCTTCTACACTGTGATCTTTTGCAATCGTGCTAACGACCGTACCACAAGTACACAAGTAGGCCATCGCAACCGTTCGTAGTACATTTTCACGTTTGTGGACGCTCCAAGACGTTCATCAGATAGCCATGTGCTTAACAAACGGCAGGCATCTTCACGGATCTATGCTGCCAGCTGATCCATGGCTCGTATCTTCTGAGCCATAACAGGCTGAGTATGACATCAAACTTGCCATCCAAATCTAGTACGATGAAGTCATCATCGTACTGCTCTCCTTCTAGCGTGTAGTGGATTCCCACTACAAGCTTATTCACTGTTACGAGTGCGCCTGTTGCAAGGCACACCGTCATCCTCGTTCGAGATAACTCTCGTCCAAAATAGTTGATCCTACTACCTCTAGTAACTGGCGTCGAATAAAACTGACCAAGGTCCCACAGTCAACTAAGGCGCGAAGTGACATTCCACTTGTCACTTCGATCTTGAAAGTGATAAGAGACACCTCAATACTAGGGTAAGTAATTAAAAGTGACGGTTCATTTAAATCAATCCTGTGTCAAGCGTCCTGCAAATTCTCTTGACGTTGCTGGGTCAGCAGGGTTATTTGTTGCGTAATTTGCCGCAGCAGCGAGTCCACCGACTGAGCTCGTGTTAGAGGCAACCGACGATGCTACTGACGTTCCATTTGTGCTCTCCCCAACCTTTTCCATCCATGTCTGATAGCAACGAACGATGTTAGCGTGGTCCAGCAGCGCTAGGATTTTCACCTCACGCAAAAACTTCTGCAAAGTCTTCGACGTCTGGTTCTTCAAGTTAAGACCAACCCGTTTGATCGCATACCTTCGTTCATCCAAGCGTTTCTCGGCGAGTGTAACTTGACCGAAGCCACCTTTGCCAATTGCTGACAGCTCTTCAAACTCGTTCACGAAAGGACTTTGGCAGACGAACGGGAAAAGAACTTCTGCCTCATTCGAGGAAGCCTCGGATTCACACGAGGATGATTGCAATGATCCTCGAACACTGGACAGGTCCACGCTTAGCTTTTCATCCATACCAGTTTGATTGCCTTGCACACATCGCGTACCACCGCCTCCACTCGACTGATGACTGCTGTCACTGTCGCTGTTGCTGCAATAGCTTCCCGTTGTTAATTCTCCGGATAAGCTTATCGACTTTGGGCCGCTCATGACTCTTGAGTCGGTACCTGCCTAAAAACGCCTCATTCTTTGAATACATTGGCTTGGAGCAGTCGTTCCAAAGCATTACAACACGTGATCGGTGGTGAAGGGCACATGTACAGATGTTGATTGTGTTTATATTTCGACTTGAACGCTCAGCAGCACGCACGGAGCATTAGTGTAACGGGGTAGCCCGTTGCATGAAATTGACACCAAACGGTGTCAAAAGGGAGATTGTCTAGCATGACAATATTCCACCAATTTTTTCCGAGATAGACAATAATTGAAGGAATATTATTCCTTTTGGATAATATTCATGCGCTGCTATAAGAATGGTTGATACAAGACATATCAACCATAGATTGCCACCAGTCGCTGCTAGACGCGCGCGATGAGTGGTGAGCAGGTTGTCGTCACACGACGGCGTAGTTTAACATAGTTAGATAAAGATTAAAGTTATGTTGATAGCTTAACTATTTATAATACAGTTCTCTTTTTACATTTACTTGAACGAGTCGTTCAAGTAGATTAGCTTCCTCTGCACGTACGAGTGTACGTGAAGTTTCGCAGCACTTCGAGCAAAGGGTGACCCGTTACACCTGGTAGCACTTTGTAGTCCGTCCAACGACTGCTTAGTGTCCATCCAACATGAACATGTTGGACGTAGAAGACGACAGCTTTCACGTCACAAGTGAAGGCTACTCCCATCTGAGTGACTCAGAATGGGAGGTAGTCGGCCCCTCATGAGTGTGCTCATGGGCGAACTCGCCATCAGTGGTATGTTGGAGTTTCGAAGCAGAGACCAGCATCATGCTGCTATCAACAAGTTCCTACAAGGGGAACTTGCCATCGAAAGACAAAAGATAGCCTTGCTACAGCAGCAAGGCTCTCATCAATCGATGGGTGGTCCGACGCACATGCGTCGACCCGAGACCTTGAAGATTGATATCTTAAGGTATAGGGGAACCGATGAAGATTACCTTTTGAGATGGTTCGTCCAGTTAGACGATGCCATCAGGGCCCGTCACATCGAGGGTGACGAGATGCAAGTCACCTTCGCCCTATCAAATTTGACATGACGAGCAAAGACTTGCGCCTTAGGGTTCAAGCTTCACGACCCAAACTTGTTTGAGTCGTTGGAGATCTTGACGTCTCGTCTCAAAGAGACGTTTGAGCCGGCGAGAGCCGAGTTCAGATCACGCTCTGCACCCTTGAGGCTAAAGCAAGGTAATCGTGACGTGCACGCTTACGCACAGCACCTGCGCTACCTTGCGAGTAGCGTTACGGAAAACCCTGTTGATGAGCACACGCTCATCAACGTGTTCATCTACGGCCTTGTGGATGGACCGGTGAAGACCTACATGTTTAAAGAGGACTTACATACGCTGGAAAAGGCAATAGCGTATGCGAAACAAGAAGACTTCAGCCTGATACGGTCTCAGGCTAACTTGTTGAACTATCGTTCGACGAGACGACAGGAAACGGGATGTCCCGAACCAATGGAACTCTGTTCTATCGAGAGCGAGAACGCTCGTTCTCTGAGTAATCGAGAGCGAGAACGCTCGTTCTCTGAGTCACAAGCGAACGGCAAGATGCCATTGCTGTCAGAAGATTGGAGACTACGCTCAAGAGTGTAGTGTCCCGAGCACCGCATCTCGTCCAAAGACAGGACGTGATGAGCACCGTTGGTCAAGGAAAGGTCCGAGGCGTGGGTCCGACCATGTAGCCAAATTGCGACCGCAAGTCGGACCGCCAAAATTGGTCAGGGTCGGTAGGTGCGGAGCACCCTGCTGATCCAGAAATGTCAAGAGAATTTGCAGGACTGTTGACGAAGATTTCTCCCAACACAAAGTCGCTGTGTGTTACTGCCCTTAGTGAACAGAAGTCTCTTATCACTTTGAAGATCGAAGTGACAAGTGGAATGTCACTTCGCGCCCTAGTTGTCTGCGAGGCGTCGAACAGCTTTATTCGACGTCAGTCGCTAGGGGATAGCTGGCTCAGCTAGGCCAAGCGAGATATCCCTCCAACGAGGCTGACGGTGTGCCTAGCAACATACTCATCCGTAACGGTATCTCAAACGTGTAGTAGGAATCCACTACACGCTAGAAGGAGAGCAGTACGATGATGACTTCATCGTAAAAGATTTGGATGACAAATTTGATGTCATACTCAGCCTGTTATGGCTCAGAAGATACGAGCCATGGACCAGCTGGCAGCATCGATCCGTGAAGATGCCTGCCGTTTGTTCAGCACATGGCCATCTGATGAACGTCTTGGAGCGTCCACAAACGTGAAAATGTACTACGAACGGTTGCGATGGCCTACTTGTGTACTTGAGGTGCGGTCGTTAGCACGACTGCACAAGATCACAGTGTAGTATGCCGCTACACTGTGGAACCATCTTCCGGCACCTGTGTAGAGACACAGTATGTGCTGAAGGTTCACCACCCGAATAAAAGAGTGGACTAGAACACGGATTCACACCAAAGAGGGTGCGTCCGAGAAGATAGATTAGTGTTGTTCAGGATGAACACTTTAAAGCAAGATCGAATAACAGAGAGTCGATTGTTAAGCAAACACGATCGACTGAAAGAGAGTCGATCGAAGAGGCCGTGACTGTGGTAGTGCTCCCACAGTCAGAACACGTATTGCAAGAAAGTTCTAGCGTTCCTGAGAGTGATAGCTTCGGAGAGGGCTATGTTAAGGGTGTGTTTTCTCAACCACCTGAGGATGTGTTTTTCCAGGAAATCACGTAGTCAGTTAATGTCTTGGTGAATGACGGATCAAGTGTAGTCGCTTATACACTTGATCTGGTTACGACCCCGAATTCAGCTTCGGAGGTAATCAAGTTGCCAACACTAGAATCTAAAGATTCTTGCGAGATCTGCGTAGTGACAAGATCAAGCAGATCTGCTTACTCGTCACAGAGGACGAGTACGTCGCCGATATTCGGTCGGCACAAGTGTTTGCTGTGAAAGAACGGGTTTTCAGTAGCTCATCGATGGACGAGAGTGTACTCGATGAGAAGACTCGGATTGCGCGATGCACGTCTCAGTCTTGGGAGTCTTTGAAGAAAATCCTTTGCATAAGGATTTGATCGAATCAGGGATGTTTTCCCGGAATCCGTGCCATGCGAGCTGCCCAAGGACAAAGGCACTCGACATGATATCGAGCTGAAACCTGGTTCGAAATTCTGTGTCATGAATCAGTGGCCACTGCCTCGTGAACAGGTAACAGCGATCGACAAATTCTTTGCCGATCGATTAGCGGCAGGTTATGTGAGGGAAAACATCCCCACACAGCTCTCCAACCTTCTGTGTGCGAAAGGCCACAGGAGGGTGGTGGATAGTACACGCGTTCAACAAACTGAATGACTGCAACGGTACTGGCGCAGACACCGACACCGAGGAAGGACGTAATCATAGATGGTATGGGAAAAAGTACCATTTTCTTGTCCATGGATTTGACGGACGGGTTCTATCAAATCCTCATGCGTAAACGGGATATCCCTTACACAGCAGTGAGCACCTCAAGTGGTATGCTCTGGGAGTGGCTAATAATGGCACCGAGGCTAAGTAACGCCCCTGCAACGTTCAACAGATGTGTTTCGAATCTGTTGCGATCGGTGCGATTTTGCACCGAGTTACTTCGACGATGTCGTTGTCCACATCCGGGAAATGGATGGAAAGACGGAAGTGAATGTTCATAGTATCCACGTCCGGAAGGTTCTTACGCTAATGCGAGAGCATAAGCTGTACGCCAAACTCAAGAAGTGCATATTCTCAGCGAGCGAAATGCCACTTCTTGGCTGCATCTTTCGTAAAAACGGCGTACGTCCTGATCCAAACAATTAAGGCATACAACGAATGATCTGTGCCAGTCGAAGCTAAGGGTCTTCGAAAGCTCCTTGGCTTAGCGGCGTACTTGCAAAAGTACTCACGCAACTGTGCCGAGATGACCATGCATCTCTCTCGTCTACTAAAGAAAAACGAGAGGTGGTCATAGAGTAATGTGTGTCAGCACTCTTTTGAAGGCATCAAGAGTATCTTGGTGCAATCGCCTGTGTTGGCGATTGCAGACCAGTACAGACCATTCCATGTGGTCTGTGACGCCAGTGATTTTGCAATCAGCTGCGCGTTAATGCAGTACGATTCAGACGGCGTTGAGTGCGTCGTCTGTTATCAATCGCGCCAGCTGCAAGCAGCTGAGCGTAACTAAGCAGTGCATGATAAGGAACTCCTTGCCATGAAATGTGCACTGGCTAAGTTTCGGGTGTATATCTTAGAAGATAGGTCCTCCATCATTTATATCGACCATGCGCGTTACGCACGGCCGTAGACAGTCCACACCTCTCGCAAACGAATGGCGAGGTGGCTGTCTTTCTTTGCAGAGTACAACTTTTCCGTCGAGTTTAAACCAGGACGACTTGATGTCGTCGCTGATGCTCTTTCGCATCGGCCCGATTTCGAGCCGACTGCTCATCACCACAGGAAGGATGATCCCACTATAGCAACACTATCAGTGAGTGTTCCATCGTCAAGTCTTCTCGAAGACGTTCGGAAATCATACACAGAAGATGAGTCTCTTTTGCAGTTGATTGATTATGTATCCAATCCATGCAGTCAAGCTTTGAAAAGTTTGTCGTCTCAATACCGCCCTTCAACCGAACGGTATTCTGTTCGTGATCGACTGCTGTACTATACAGCAGTCAACGGCTACACACCTCGTGTCGTCATTCCTGCTCATAATGATTTGCCATTGCGCATCATGCATGAGTGTCACGATGCCCCGACAAGTGTGCATCGCGTTAAAGAAAAGGCTTACCTTACGGTAAGTCATGACATCTACTGTCCACGTCAGTATGCGTCTGTGCGCAAATACATTCGCGCTTGCGAAGTTTGCTAACGGGTAAAGCCTAGCCCTTCATCCCGTTCACCCTTGCAGCTTCTACCGATTCAGTCAGAGTGCTGACAGTCCGTATCGATGGACGTCGTCTTCGGGTTTCCCAA